AGGTCCAGCCTGAATTGTCAGCTTGGTCTGTTAATAAGGAGCAGCTCCCCCACCTCATTCCTGAGTGGTGAGGACCTCCACAGACCCCCACAGCCCCCTGGGCAGTGCTGGAGCTGGCACAGAAGCCAAAGCTGGTGTGACCTACCCCTGTGCCATGAGCACCAGCCCTGCTCCCTGCCTGGGGCCCTGTGCCAGCCCTGCGAGAGGTGACAGTGAGCAAGGGCAGCCCAAAGCTGCTACCCCTCCGCTCCCCCTCCAAGGCCACAGCCACGTCCAGCACGGGGGGCTTTGGTGCAATGGAGTGAGCGTGAGCAGGGACGCCTCAGCCTCCCCTCAGACCCTGGGGCTCGTGTCCTGTGGCTCCGGTGGGACTGAAGCGCGTGTCTATGGCGTGTCGGGAAGTGCTTTCCACGTTACCCTCCAGCCTGCCCAAGGTGGGACCGACACAGGATCAGGTGTTTCAGCTTTCTGTGGTATTGATTTTCCCCCTTTCACTTTCCCGTGTGGCGAAAGCCAGGAAACCTGAGCCAGCCCAGGGGCTTTGCTCAGTGCTGTTACTGCAGGGAATGCTCCTGAAAAACACCCAGATGAGAAATGGCTGCAGGAAGGCAAGAGAGGAGGCCAAGGCCACCAGCTCCAACGGGGATGAGCCCGGGCAGGGCTGAGCCGAGGGGCTTAGTGCCCCCTGAGCCATGCCACAGCCTGGCCTCTGCACGGGCAAATCATTGCAGAAAACTGGGGTTTATTTACGCTTTACAACCAGCAGACGAGACTGGCTGCCAGCTGGAGTGATTTCTTGATTGGAAATGCCACGTGGGTACAAATGAACTTGAACAAAAGGACAGAGAAATAAGATACAGGCTCTTTCTGCAGAGACAGGGGTGCTACAGAGGCGCAGTCCAGCTTTTAGAAACACTGCTTAAATAAGAGGTTATATGATGAAGGTGATTGGGAGTGTGCTGCAGTGAATTAAAAAAATAAAAAAGGAATAAAATAGATCTTAGTGCAGCAAGGATGTGGCAATTGGTTTCTCAATAAGGACTCAGTACAAGGAGAACTGGGAGGACATAGTTAAATGTGTGTAGTCTCCAGTCAGAAAGCCTTTTGGGTCAGGCAGGCACATCAGCACGGGTGGTTAACGGGAACAGGGCCCATTATCGCCAGGGAAGCTGAGCGCTGGCCCTGGGGGCTCCAGCAGATCCGCAGGGCGTGTGGGATCCTTGGCTTCAGTGAGTAAACAGCAAATAAATCCCAAATCCGTGGGAGAGGACAGCGCAGGGCCAGCCTGTGCTTTCCTTCCCCCTTGCCTGGTATTAGCCTAAGCAGCCCCATCCCACTGTCAGAAGAATAAGCTGTGAAATGGTTTTGAAAATAAAGGCTGTTTAATTACGAGCCCATTTGTGAGCCTTCTGGAGCCCATCTGGCTGGGGAGCGGGCACTTGAAGGGGAGCATGGGGAGGCCATGGCAGGAGCGGCTCTGGGAAAAGCGCTCTTAATGTTAAGAGCCAAATCCTCTCTCACATTAAGCCGCATGGGCAGACCCTGCACTCAGCCACTTCAGTGGTGCCGGATCCGCTCGGGCGTTGGAAGGGGCTGGGCTGTGTCCCTCACCCAGCCCCCTCCTCCCCTGGCTGGGGGTCCCACCCATGGGCTGGGGGATTTCAAGGTCCCTTCCAACCCAATCCTATGAGATACGGGGTGTGCAGGGGAGAGCAGCTCCCCTTGCGCCCGTTTATTAATCCCTGGCGCTTAGCGGAGCCCCAGAACAGAGATTTCTGATGAACCCGAATGCCCGAGCTTGGTTTGTCCTGTTTGGTATTAACCACTGCTATCAGAGATGCAGAACACAGCCAGGGCCTCATTACAGACTGCCATCGTGTTGATTAGGTAGGTTTCATACTTAATAACAGGGAACTATTTCATGGCAGTTTCACGAAAAAAGAGGAGAAAAAGCCATTATAATTTCAGGAAAAGTCCCTGGAGAAGTGAAATGGTAATTCACAAATCCTACCCTGATCTATTAGCAGATCCTGCTCTGGAGACTGGATTAGGTAGGACGTCTGGCTTGGCTGATATTATTATTTGAACACTTCTTAAAGAGTATTTATTAAATACTTTTTTCTCTTAATAACGGTGAGATCCAGCTACACTTGCAATTTTCAGGAGGGTGCCAGGGGATGCAAGGACCCCACATGGGGTCTGCCCCCCGCGCTGGCTCATGGGGATTTGGGTGCGAGCAGACATGGGCTCAGCAATGCCCGCTGCTGCAGGAGCAATAATTTCGGGTGGTAAAGGAACACGCAGGAGGCAGCTGGGGCCGAGTGCTGCCCTTTCCACGTCAGACCAGGAACAATGGCATTTCCTCCGTGGGGACAGAAAAGGCTGTATTTCACAGCGGCGCAGGGTGACCCAGGGCTGTTGGGGACATACGGGGCCAGGGGGTCCTTCTCACGGGAATCCTTGCGACGGGGCCATGACAGCTGCCGGGGGGATCCAGCATAGCAAGGACTGTGTGCTGGCAAAGTGGGTCTGGGGTAGTAGAGCCCTGGGCTGCAGAGCCTCTGTGGGGAGAGGGGGGTGGGTGGCAAATTCCCCAGAACCGCTTTTGCCACAGAGCAGGTTCCCAATGTGCATTTTGGGCTCCAGAATGCTCTGTGTCCTGCATGAACGCATCCTTTTTTTCTGGATGTTACACGGCCTTGGAGAGGTAACTGCCTGCAGAATTGCACTCTCGATCTCTTGGGCTGCCACAGTGCCCCTGCCCCGCTGTGCTCTGCCTGGCCTTTGCCTGCTGCCCCCACACTGATCCCAGCTGAGGGCAATGCTCCACAATGAGCTTAAAAAGCTCCTGGTGGGGGTGCTAAGCTCTTTGGGGCCTCTGCCCATCTAGCACCATGCTCCTCATTCTGTGAGGCTCAGCCTTCAATGCCAGACAGGTATGACCAGGGCGTGCTCTGGTGGGGTGATACCATTGTGCTCCCCACTGCTGTGACCACCTGGCCAAGGGCTGAGTCCCCTGGGTTGTGCCTGGACAGTGGGGAAGCCCTGGGGTGAGGCCGTGAGCTCCAGGGGCTGCGGTTGTTGCTGTAAAAGCTGTCGCTCTCTTGTGCTGCTGCTCATAGAAAGCTCTTTCTCCCCTCTGCTGACCCCATGGAAAGGTTGGTGGGAGCTGGGAGGGTGTATCTGTAGCAAATGGGATGAACCACAGATAAAATGTGAGGGAGAAAATGTGTTAGAAACAGTCTGTTGGCCTTCAAAGAAATGAAGAAGGGGAAAAACAACTGGACTTGAAGCTTGTGAGGAGGGAAAACAAAAGCTTGCTTGCAAGTCAGGTTCCTGCAAAAGTGCTGAGCACAGCGTTGAGATGCTGACCCGCTCCTCGCCTTGTATGGGCAGAAACAGAGCCTTGTGCCTATATTTAATTTGCAAGGGGAAAAAAAAATGCTCCCTCTGTGCCTCTGCTCCACTGGCCTCAATGCCTTGGGAAGTTAAAGCAGGAATTGAATTGCATGTTTGAAAAATAACACTACTGCTGCTCGCACATGAGCCCTTCCTGAGCTTGGAGTGACCAGAACAGGTTTCTGCAACACAACCCTGCTGCACACTGAGGGCTGCTGGAAACGGGGCTGCAGGGCGGTCAATGGGCTCTGTCTTTGCTCTGGGGCGCATGGACCCTGCGCAGCCCTGGGTGACATGGCCCCATCCCCCTCCATAAGCCAGGGGCTGCAGGGCTCCAAGACCATTCCTCAGCAGCTTCTCCCCCATTCCTGGGGCTCCACCTCCCCGTGCTGGGGCAGGGACATGGACAGCAAAGGACCTGAAGGCTCTTGGGGATGTGCATGGGCTGTGGTGGGGCCTTGGCAGTGACCTCTGGCTGTGGCTCTTCTTGCTATGATTTACAACCCCTCCTTGAATGGAAACTCTCCTGGCCGCTCCCCAAGCTCCCTGCTGCTGGCTGGGACCAGACTGACACAACCTGCATGTGGTCCCGGCTCTGACCCCGCTGACCGAGCCTTTCGGGCCTGCTCGGACAGGTCTTCATGATGGTGAAAACACAGAAACTTCTGTGGTGGAGAAAGCAGGACCGAGGATGCCCGGCATGGAGACGGCTCCAGGGCGCGATGGGGGCTGATGCCACTTTATTGGTAACTCTTGGAGAGCTGCACATGGAGAACGTGGCTCTGTGAGACGGGGTTTGTACACAACAGCAATGGGAAACAACGACAATAAACACCCGCTGCAACTTTGAATCCGAGTGCAACCTCAACAATAAACATCCGCAACGTTGAATCTGGTGCGACCTGTGGGGACAAGGGCCACAAACTTCCGCAACAGGAGCCTTGTGTCTACTGGTTTAACTGGTGGGGAAAGAAGTGATGCTGGGAGCACAATGGGGGTACAATTTAGGGGGAAAACCCCACAATTAAATGCAACAAAGCTGGGGTTTGACACCCCCACTTCGCAGCTGTTCAAGTCTTACAAACTCAAACTTACCTCTTTCAACTTAAATAACAAGTGCTTCACATACAACACTTGAATTGCCTGGCTTATAAACCAGTTTAAGTGCACACAAGCAGGAATAGATTTTTCTTTAAAAAACTATATATATATATATTTGCACACGCATACACACCCATGCACACAGTGGATTTTGTGCTGCAGCTGTTTTGAGATGACAGAAGGGGCTGAAGTGGCCACCATAAGCCAGGCTCCATGAACTGGTCATCTGTGGCACCACTCGCCCTCAAGCTGCTGAAGATTCTGATTATTTTTGCAAATATCGGTCCCCAAAAGCCTTCCAATGTGGGGCTGTCAGCTGCTGCTTGTCCTGCTCTGGAAAACGCTGCTCGCAGGTGATGAAGCCCACAGCAGGTTTTGCAGAGGACTCCCCATCTCGGTCCATGGTGAGGGCTCAGGGGTCTCCCTAAAAGACATGCACGGCCTCCAGCTCCTCTCTGGAGTCAAACAAATGCTCGGCAGAGCAGAGGACACCCACAGACTCAGACCCAGACGGCTGTGTTGATGTCAAACCCAGACTGGCTGTAGTCTATGGTATCCTGGACTTTCTTGGTGCCCATTCTGGGTTTCTCGCTATTGCTTTCTGCCTTTGGGCACCGCTCTGCTTTGCTGTGATGGTTCTGGACATTCCCGTGAAGTGGGAAGTAAAATGTCCCCTTGAGTTTGTTCACCTTTTTGGGTCTCTTGGAAATTTCGGACTGTTTGTCTTCTGGTGGGAGCCAGCACGGCTTCTCCTTGAGGAGCCTGTCCCGGTCCGGCCGAACACTCCTCAGGAACTTCTTGAAGATGTTGGCTGTGAGGGAGAACTTCCTGCAGAGCTCCTGGGACCTGCTCGTGGACAAGGACTCCTCGCTCTTCTCCCCCTTCTTGTCCAGCTCTGGCAGATCCAACCAGTTCCCAACCAAGTCTGCAAAGACGTTGTCCCCCAGGACCAGCGGCTGCCGATTCCTGCTCTGGGACATGAGGGAGGACGTCCAGTCATGGCCATCATCGCACCCAGGGCACTCCTGGCACGGAGGCCAACCCCGGGCCGTGCCCTGGCTGCTGGGCTCGGGTGTGCTCGGGCGGATGTGCCCCACTCTGACGGGACCAGAGGAAGGTCCTTGTGGGTGATAAATGTCCTCACTGCAGAACGAGGAGGGGGTGTCTCGACGGTGGCCGCCCTCCAGGAGCGCAGCAGGACGGGGCAAACCCACCGCCTGCGGCACTGCACACGCGAGGGACGTGGGGCTGGGGGGGGGG